ATGGGGCAGCACCACCTGTGGGTTTCCCAGACTAACTCTTCCCGAGCAGAAAGGCTCAGGGAGTCCACGCTGGACCCTGTCACAGAGCGTCAGGGCTGAGGTCTGATCTATCGTGTGAGCGAGCGCCTGGGCTGGAACAGCTCCTGGGCGGCCATCAGAGGCGGGAGGACAACCTCACAGCCGAGGAAACAGTCAGACCAATGGACAGTCGTGTGTCACACGACCCTGAGGCCAGGAGAACTTGGCGGTGCCCGGCCTCTGGCGTGGATCAGGATCACAGAGAGGGTCCGTGACAGACAGGGCGTGGGGAAAGGGTAGGGCACGATTCAAACTCATCCCAAGGCCCAGACGCTCTGGTCTGGCAGACACTGGCAGGACCCCCTCAACCCGGAGCCACACCCACCTCCGAGGATCCACTTCCCGACAAACAGTAGGCAGGCCTGCAAGGGGACACGGACCCCAGGAGGGCGTGCTCCCAGGACTGTCAGCCACAGGAGACCCAAAGGCAGCAAGTGCTCAGAAGGCAGGGAGGGGCGGGGATTGGGAGGAGCGGGGGAAGTGGAATGCTAGGTTGAGTCATGACTAATGCCACAGAGCAAACTGTGTGTAAGTTGTTGAGTGGAAAATGGATGGGCCCTGTAAGCTTCCATCCAGCCACAATTAAGAAAGAAAAGAAAAAGAAGGATTTTATGAGGCTATGGTAACCCCTTGTGGTGTGGTGGTTACATATTGGGCTGCCACCTGCAAGGTCTGCTGTTCGAAACCACCAGCCGATCCTCAGAAGAAGGATGAGGCTTTCTACTTCTGTAAAGAGTTATAGTCCCAGAAACGCACAGGGGCAACTTTACCCTGTCCTATAGGGTTGCCCTGGCGGTGTACTGGTTGGGCTGCCAACTGCAAGGTCAACAGTTTGAAATCACCAGCCGCTCCTTGAGAGAAAGACGAGGTTTTCTACTCCTGGAAGAGTTTACAGTCTTGGAAACCCACAGGGGCAGTTCCACCCTGTGTGTGGGGTCACTCACAGGGAGTGAGGGCGGCTAAGGGTTGGCATGGACTCGATGGCAGTGAGCTGATGGCCAAGCCCACACCATCGGGTCCCTCCCTCTTCATAGCAAAGCGTCAGCCCAGAGTAGCCTAAAGCGGCCATGTTTCCAGAGTCTGGGCCGATGGTGGGCTGGAGCCCCTAGCCCCTCGGCAGACACGTGTTTCCCTGTTGTGCCAGGAGCGTTCTTTGGGCCACTGGCTATGTGCCCCGGGGCACGACTCTGCCTAATTAGGTCTGGGGTGGCTGCCATTCAGCACGACAAGGAAGCAGCGGGTGGGCTGCAGAAGGAGCCTTCCTTCTGTATTCCGCAGGTGCACTCCCCAAGGCCTGGCTGACTCCTGGATGGTTGTGCTGTGCTCCCGCCATCGGACCCCTGCCTCCTGTCATCCGCAGCCAGGGAGCTGCCCCTGTACGCTGGCGACCCCCTGCACCCCAGGACTGGCCACGGAGCCCCACAGGGTTTCAGGAGCTGGGTGCCAGGACTCTCTTCCCACTCTCCCTTGTCGAGAAGCTCTTCTGGGCCTGGGGCAGCATCGTTGCCCCGAGCACGTCCACTGACAGGTGGGTCTCTCCCCTGGGAGGTGAGCACTCAGCCCTGAGCCACCACTACCACCAGTGCTGCAGCACTGACCACCCACCGGCCTCTGCGCCACCACAAACAGGGGCTGCTCCACAGGCCACGGGCACTGAGCAGCTAGGCCTCATTCGGGCATCTTGTTGGTGGGCAAGGGGGTGCTTCCACAGGAGGGAAACCCACCCTGCCTACCCCCAGCCCTGCCGACTGAGCGGGTGGGGAGGTGCCTCTCTCTCTCTCTCTCTCTCTCTCCTGAGATCCAGCGTCTCAAATCCAACCACCAGGCAAGAGGAGATGTCAAGTCGTGTGGAAGGTTTCTTCAAAGAGGAACAGGGAAGAACAG